GGATTCGAACCCGCCACCTTAGGTGTACGTGGCTGGCACCTTAGCCGGTTGAGCTATAGGCGTCGAGCCCAGTTCCCCAATTTTCGTGAGACAAATGTATTCTAGGCTGCCGCCCCACCTCAAAGGTCAAGGTAGGATCCAATAGCAAATATTTCTGAGGCTTACTGAAGGCTGAAGACCTGAAGGAAATTAGATCAGACCTTCAAAGCCAGCTTATGGTAAATGGTAGCATTTGGCATTGGCGTCCAGCACTAGAGTGCTTCTCTTGCCAGCCACTGAGGCTAAACTTCCACTGTGCCTTGGCCAGCTGGAGTAGGGATGATAAAAACTGCAGATAGGGTGAGAATTCAGGCAGCTTCTGCATAGACTTCTTTGGAATATCTCAGTAAGTTTGGCTTTATGTTATGTCTGTCCTGAATAAGACAGAAGCAAGGCCCTTTTTTTTCTCCTTTTTATGTTCCTTAGGGAAAGGATTTGTAAACAGAATTCAAACAGAAATTTTATCTTCCTTATGCTGGATATTTGAAGAGACCACAGAGGGGGAGGAAAGGGAATAGGTGAAAGTGTTCCAGAGCAAGAAGCTGAAATAAAATCTGTCCCTAGAAGAACTGGGGTTGGGATGTAGAAGGACAAGAATTATCCCAGATGAGGTAGGATTATGTTTTTTTTTTGAGACAGACTTTCACTGTGTCACCCTGGGTAGAGTGCCGTGGTATCACAGCTTACAGCAACCTTCAATTCTTGGGCTTAAGCTATTCTCTTGCCTCAGCCTCCCAAGTAGCTGGGACTATAGGCACCTGCTACAATGCCCGGCTATTTTTTGTTGAGGTTGTCATTATTGTTGTTTAGTTGGTCTGGGCCAGGTTTGAACCCGCCAGCCTCAGTATATATGGCTGGCACCGTAACCACTGTGCTATAGGCGCTGAGCCAGGATCATGTTTTTTTAAAAATAGACATATTCCCTTTTTTTTTTCATTTAAAGGCATGTGTCTGCATGTATACTGATGAAGCTTGACATCAAAGGTCTTTGCTTCATTCAGAGGCTTAAGGAATACATAGCATCTGTGAGTGGGCTCACCTCCTTTCCCTCTTGTTGGGTCTAAGCTAAGGTGACCAGACGTCCTGCTTTTGGTGGGACAGTCCCGATTTTTAACAGTTTGTCCCATGGCATTTTAAAAAAGTCCCAATTTTTGGAAAGAATGCATGACAAGCTAGGGAACAGCAGGAGAATGGGGAGGGAATATATGATTTCAGCTGCTGAAAAGGTTAATGTAACTCCACTTGGAATGAAGAGGTTATTGTAACTTCATTTGGAAATGAAAAGGCTAAGGTAAACTCCCTACTTCCCTCCTGGGCAAGGTATCAGAAGGAGACTGGCTCAGAAGGAGCCAAACTGTCTGGAACAAGATAAGGATTCAATAGCAAGTAGCCCCTCCCCCCAGTAAGGTGACCAGACATCCAGCTTTTGGCAGGACAGTCCTGATTTTTAACAATTTGTCAGTTTGATGCCTGTGGCTCAAGTGGCTAAGGCACCAGCCACATATGCCTTAGCTGGGAGGTTCAAATCCAGCCCGGACCGCCAAAGACAATGACAGCTGCAACCAAAAAATAGCCCGGAGTTGTGGCAGGCACCTGTAGTCCCAGCTATTTGGGAGGCTGAGGCAGGAGACTCTCTTGAGCCCAGGAGTTGGAGGTTGCTGTGAGCTGTGATGCCTCAGCACTCTACCCAGGGGGGACAGCTTGAGGCTCTGTCTCAAAAAAAAAAAAAAAAATTTGTCTAGTATCCTGCAGCATTTTAAAAAAGCCCCGATTTTTGGAAAGAATGCATGACAAGCTAGGGAACACGGGAAAACAGGAAAGGAATATACGGTTTGGGGCTGCCATGTGGCTATTTCACCAGGATATGTGTTTTATATTATTTTTGTTAATTTTATAATGTTAAACTTTAATAATAACAAATAATTGTTGAGAACTGATTATTGAGAACTGCTTATCAAAGTTTGCATTGTTGTCAAACCCTGCCCCCCCCCAATGGTGTCCCGCTTTACCAATGTTAAAATCTGGTCACCTTAGTCTAAGCAGCTGTTAGGGTTTGGTGGCCTGCTTTGGAGTGTGTCTGTGGCATACAAAATGTAGAAAACCTTCCATGTATTCAGACCACAGACAGAAATCCTGGATCTGAAATGGTACCAATGTCTGAATGAGCACATCAGCAGTGCCCGAATGACACCATGGACATGGGGTAAACCATCATAGGACTTTGAAAGAAAAGCTGACTCCGCTTTTGACATGAATTGACATGGCTGTTATTTCCTCTGATGTAGATTTGACCATGTGGAGGTAGGGAGAATAGAATGTCATGTTCTTTCACTGAAGCCATGCCGTGAGCAACTCTATCCAAATAGAATGTCACACCTCTCAGTTGGAGACCCAGGAGGACTGACCGTGTGCCGAGAGTGAGGACAGGAGGTGATTACAGCTTACTAGGCAAGGCGAGCAATCCGCCCACAAAGTTCTCGAGCCTCATTTAGCTCTTCCTTAGAGCTCACTGTGCGTCCCCATCTGTTTTTGTCTCTCCAGAAGTGCGTACTGTGCCACCTCAGTCGCCTCTTTGACCAACACCATCACTCCAGACCTCTTTGAGGGCACAGCCGAGTGGATAGCAAGGTGAGAGAAGCCAGGATGTCTCCTGGCCTCCTGCAGAGCAGGTGGTCAAGACTTGGTTTTGGAAAAATTAAAACAATGAAAAAGGGCTGGAAGGGAGAGATAATGTTATAACTGTGCATTTCTACAATACTTCTTTTTTGCCAAGCTTGCTTTAATGTTGGATTATATTATAGTTTAGATTAGCAAAGAGCAAAAACTCTGGTAAACAATACCAGTGGGAGTCTAAATTGATTTTACCAGTTTGGAGAGCAGTTTGGCACCATCTCAAAGTGCCCTGGCTTATGAGCCAGGAATTCCACTCCTGCAGAAACTCACATGCGTGCGTTAAAGGGACGAGCCTAGCACTGTTTATAGCATCAGAAGGCTGGGAACGGGTTCAGGGTTCATAAAATGGAGGAAGTTATGGTATAGCCACACTGGGATTTAATGCAGCAGTCAGAACCAGTAAACTATAGCTACGTGTATTGATATGGACAAATCTCAAAAACATTGTTGAGGCTCAGCGGCGGTGGCTGAAGCAGCTAAGGCACCAGCCACATAGACCTGAGCTGGCGGGTTTGAATCCAGCCCGGGCCCGCCAAACAATGACAACTGCAAACAAAAAATAGCCGGGTGTTGTAGCAGACGCCTGTGGTCCCAGCTACTTGGGAGGCGGAGGCAGGAAAATCGCTTGAGCCCAGGAGTTGGAGGTTGCTGTGAGCTGTGATGTCACAGCACTCTAACCAGGGTGACAGCTTGAGGCTCTGTCTCAAAAAAAAAAAAAAAAACAATGTTGAGTTAAAAAAAAGGAATGTTAAAGAAAACACACAAACCCCCAAAGAAATAAAAAACAAAACCCAAACCCATACAGATCACATTTACTGAAAATTTGAAAACATACAAGATAACTCTGTATTGTTTATGGTAAGAATCATATGTAATAATAATATAAAAACATGCATAGGAAAGATAGACAAATTCAGGTGACAGTTACTTCCAGGGAAAGAGCAAAGGAAATGACAGCAGGGGACATCTGCCAGGAGACTTCAACTGCAATAGTTCATTTCTTTTTTTTTGCAACCTCCAACTCCTGGGCTTAAGCAATTCTCTTGCCTCAGTCTCCCGAGCAGCTGGGACTACAGGTGCCCGCCACATTGCCCAGCCATTTTTGGGTTGCAGTTTGGCCAGGGCTGCGTTTGAACCCGCCACCCTCTGTATATGGGGCCGGCAACTTACTCAACGAGCCATAGGTGCCGCCCTGCAATAGTTCATTTCTTAAAAATAAAAAGACCTGAAGTGTATATGGCTAAATCTAAGATAGGTGATAAACATATGTATATGTATTATTTGCTCTACTCTGTTGGATGTTTTAAACTTTTCGTAATTTAGAAAGAAAAAAGAGGGTGGCACCTGTTGCTCAGTAGGTAGGGCGCCAGCCCCAAATACTGAGGGTGGTGAGTTTGAACTCAGCTCCAGCCCCATATACCGAGGGTGGTGAGTTTGAGCCCAGCCCTGGCCAAACTGCAACAAAAAAATAGCCAGGTGTTGTGGTGGGTACCTGTAGTCCCAGCTACTTGGGAGGCTGAGGCAAGAAAATCACCTAAGCCCAGGAACTGGAGGTTGCTGTGAGCTGTGATGCTACAGCACTCTATCAAGGGCAATAAAGTGAGACTCTGTGAACCAGATGACTAGGCTTACTCTGATCATGTACTCTTTCGTGTTGCTCTCATTTTCCTGGAGTTAATGTGCATATCATTGAATGTGTATGTCCTGAATTCATTCCTGAATTCTCTCCCAGAGCTATAAAAAATTACTCTTCAACACCATCAAATGCGTCAGGTAGGCTGTGTGTGTGTGTGTCTGAGTCCTCCTCCTAGAACCCTCTGCCCTTCTGTTCAGTCTGCACAGATTGCTCCCAGCTTGCTGCACAGCAGGCATCCAGAAGCTTCCTTTCAGCATGAAATTCATGTCACTTCTCTCCTTTGTTGAAGGCCCAGCTCTTCCTTTTCTTGTTTTTCTTACTCATTTTAATGAAGCATATACCTAATAGATCTCCCTAAAATGATACCTGAGAGATACATTTTTAAGGTCTTGTATATGTCTTTATTTTAATCTCATGCTTGATTGATAGTTTACTTGGTTAGGGATTTCTAAGTTGGAAATGGCATAATACTGTATTCTTTCTGAATTTTGTAAGCATCATTCTACTGATTTCTTGCTCCTGGTATCATGGTTAATAAGACTGCTAACAATAACTGCCACATTTATTGAGGACTATGTAAGGCTCGATAGTAGCTGTAGTTCAGAGATTGAGAGTAGGCACTGCCTGGGTATGGTTCTTTTTTAAAATACATTTTGTGTTTCTCAGCTGAGATTGCCTATCTTTTTATTCATTATGAGTGTATTTTTCTTCATTCCACTGTGATAAATATGCCATTACAATATCTGCTTTAAAATCCTTACCTGGTTTATTTCCACATCTGGATATCTTGGAATTGGTCTGTCATATTTTCCTGACTCTTTGTGTGTTGTGTAATTTTTGGATTATATGCTGGACATTGTGATGTTATGTTATAGGTATAATACCACATAGTATTATGGGTTCTATAGACTTGGTGGTGTTCTGTTTTGTCAGGCAGTTGACTTGGTCAGACTCTGCACTGCCACACCTGTCATGGGCAGCAGCTCAGGTCTGAATCTTGGTTAGAAGCTGCTTCCTGATTGCCCAATGCAGGTGTGAATTAGAGGTGAGGCAGAAACCTGAGCAGAGTTTAAAGGTAGAATTTGGGGTTTTCCTTCTTTGACTTTCCTCTTTCTGAATTTCCTCCTCACTTCCTGGCAGCCTCTTTGTCCTGCCAGAAAGGTGATTGGCTTTCTCTTAGATACCTGACCTGCTGTCACCACTGGGCTGGGGCTGGGCTCAGGGCAAACCCAACAGGAAAAAAGTAGGGTGGAAGAGTGGAGTGGTGAACTCCTTACGGTGAACTCCTTGCTGTTGCTGCTCCGGGTTGCAAACCCCATCAGAATCTTCTTCCCTCTTTATGGTCAACAGAGCCCTTGGGAAACTGTTTGTTTGTTTTTTTCTTTTTTTTTTTTGAGACAGTGTCTCACTTTGTCACCTTCAGTAGAGTGCTGTGGTGTTATAGTTCACAGCAACCTCAAACTCTTGGGCTCAAGCGATTCTCTAGCCTCAGACTCCTGAGTAACTGGGACTACAGGCACCTGCCACAACGCCAGGCTATTTTTAGAGACAGAACCTCGCTGTGGCTCAAGCTAGTCTTGAACTCCTCAGCTCAGACAACCCCCACCCACTCACCTCAGCTTCCCAGAGTGCTGAGATTATAGGTATGAGCCACCATGCCTGGAGATTTTTGCATTTTGTTCAGAGTGTAAGCTCTTATTTGCAGGAGGATTGATTCGTTAGGCACTCACGGGATAGGGAACTCTGGCAGCCTGGTTTTGAATCCTAGTCCTGCCCTTTATTATTAGCTTTGTGCCTTGCACAAATTATTTAACTTCTCTGTGTCATAGTTTCTTTATGCTGAATGATAGGATATTGAATTTTATATCAAGCTGAAAGACAAAGAAATCAAGTGGTTTCCACTGTGCTCTGCAGCCTGGAAGTGCCTTTGTTTTGCTTCTCTCTGTTTACCTCCACCCCGTCCCATCCTATTCTAATGGCTTTTAGAAGCTTTGTTTGGAAACTTCATAATGATGAACCTTGAATGTGGATCTTTTTTTTTTTTTTGAGATAAAGTTTCACTTATTAACCCTTGGTAGAGCGCTGTGAAGTCACAGCTCACAGCAACCTCCAACTCTCGGGCTCAAGTGATTCTCTTGCCTCAGCCTCCCAAGTAGCTGGGACTACAGGTGCCTGCCGCAACGCCCAGCTATTTTTTGGTTGCAGTTAGACTGGAACCGGGTTTGAACCTATCACCCTTGGTATATGGGGCCGGCACCCTACTCACTGAGCCACAGGTGCCACCTAAATGTGGATCATTTTTCATTCGTTCTGCTGGGCACTCAGCAGGCTTCTTTGATTTGGAAGTGCATATACTCCAGTATTAAGAAACTTTATTGGGCTCGGCGCCTATAGCTCAACCGGCTAAGGCGCCAGCCACGTACACCTAAGGTGGCGGGTTCGAATCCCCAGCCCGGACCCGCCAAACAACAATGACGGCTGCATCCAAGAAATAGCCGGGTGTTGTGGCGGGCGCCTGTGGTCCAGCTACTTGGGAGGTGGAGGCAGGAGACTCGCTTGAGCCCAGGACTTGGAGGTTGCTGTGAGCTATAATGCCACGGCACTCTACCCAGGGGGACAGCTTGAGGCTCCGTCTCAAAAAAAAAAAAAGAAACTTTATTGTAGTATGTCTTTGATAATTTCTTCTCTTCTTTTTTTCTGTTTACTCTTTTCTAATAATATCCTATTAGTAGGATTGATTTTTTTAATTTTTCAGAATATTTGTTGTTTGTGTTTTGTTCTTTAATCCTTCTCCTTGAACTTTCTGAGAGATTCCCTTATTGCTTATCTTCTAATCTTTTGTTGAGTTTTTTTTTTTTTGAAACAGTCTATTTCTGTTGCCCTAGGTAGAGTGCTGTGGTGTCATAGCTCACATCACCCTCAAACTCCTGAGTTCCAATGTTTGATCCTCTTGTCTCAGTCTCTCATATAACTAGGATGACAGGCATGTGCCACTGTTCCTGGCTAATTTAAAAAAAATTTTTTTTGTAGTGATGGCGTCTCACTCTTTTGCTCAGTCTGGTCTCAAACTCTAGGCCTCAAGTCATCTTCCTACCTCAGCTTCCTAAACTGTTCAGTTTTTATTTCTGTAATCCTGTGTTTAATTTTCCAGAGCTCAGGTTTATCCCTTGAATGCTGCTTCTTTTTATATAGACTTTTGTTCTTGTAGGGATATGTATCTTTGCAGTATTCTTACTTCATATAATTCTTTTTTTTTTTTTTTTAGTCAGAATCTCAAGCTGTCATTCCAGGTAGAGTGCTGTGGTGTCACAGCTCACAGCAACCTCCAACTCTTGGGCTCAAGCGATCCTCTTGCTTTAATTTTTCTATTTTTAGTAGAGGCAGAGTCTTGCTTTTGCTCAGGCTGGTCTTAAACTGATGAGCTCAAGCTATCCACCTGCTTTGGCCTCTCAGCGTGCTCGGATTATAGGCATGAACCACCACACCTGGCTTCCATATTATAGTTTATCTAAAGATTTAACTTTTAAAAGTTTTCCTCTGGCTAGGGGTGGTGGCTCATACTTGTAATCCTGGCACTCTGGGAGGCTGAGACAGGTGGATTGCTTGAGCTTGGGAGTTCGAGACCAGTCTATGCAAGAGCAAGAACCCATCTCTACTAAAAACAGAAAAATTAGACAGGCATTGTGGCAGGCATCTATAGTCTCAGATACTCAGCAGGCTGAGGCAGGAGGATTATTGAAGCCTGAGAGAGTGAGGTTGCTATGAGCTATGATGCCGTGGGACTCTACCCAGGGCACAGAGTGAGACTCTATCTCAAAAAAAAAAAAAATTTTTTTTTTTGCTCCCTGTAATATTTCCTCCAATTTATTCTCATTTGTTTGTTGTCTTTTTCCTTCTCATATTAGAGACTTCACTCAGATACTTGGTGCTCTACTGCTGTCTGTTCATACTCGAGTCCAGCACTGAACAGCTGATGGGGGCTAGATACAGGGGTGGGCTGTGATCCAGCTAGTCACTGGAGGGAATTCTTTTTTCTTTCTTTCTTTTTTTTAGAGACAGAGTCTCACTTTATCGCCCTGGGTAGAGAGTTGTGGTGTCATAGCTCACAGCAACCTCTAACTCCTGGGCTTAGGTGATTATCTTGCCTCAGCCTCCCAAGTGCTGGGATGACAGGCACCCACCACAGCGCCCCACTATTTTTTGTTGTAGTTGGGCAGGGGCCGGGTTCAAACCCACCACCCTTGGCTTATGAGGCCGGCGCCCTACTCACTAAGCCACAGGCGCGGCCCCAGGAATTCTTATATATCAATGTGTAGGGAATTTTCCTTAGAGAGGAATTTTCTAGGTTCTTGCTTGGGATATGAAGATGACAACCAGCTTTGAGAGATACTAGTTGGAGGAGACGGGTGTCTGTAGACTCTCACTTAACCTACTGGTTTAGTTTGTGCCTCCCTTTTGCTCTTAGTTTGCTGGATGTCCTAGAATCCAGATGCTTTAGACTAAACCCCTGTGAAACTTCCCATCTTCTCCTGGGTTGGAGAAGAGGACCTGATCTGATTCTTATATAAGTTTGCAACCAACGAACTTGGACCAAACTCACCTTGTTTTTAGAGGTACCTTGTTGCTCCAATCCAGGAGCCTTTCCCTGGAGCAAATCACGTTGCTTTTAGTTGCTTCTCCCCACCCTTTGCTTAACCCCACCCTTTGGTTGGGGAAAGTTTCTCTGTTCTGCTAATCGGTTCCTCTGATTCTCCTTTTCTACCTTTCAAAATTTCATTATCTCCGGTCTGTATTCATAGCCTCTGTATTCTCTTTACCTCATGTTTTTATCTATTTTTACAATCTTTTACTTTCAGCTTGGCACCTGTAGCTTAGTGGTTAGGGCTCCAGCCACATACATGGGGGCTGGTGGGTTTGAACCTGGCTTAGGCCTGCTAAACAACAATGACAACCACAACAACAAGAACAAAAAATAGCTGGACATTGGGGTGGGCACCGGTAGTCCCAGGTGCTTGGGAGGCCAAGGTAAGAAAATTGCTTAAGCCTAAGAGTTTGAGGTTGCTGTGAGCTGTGATGCTACAGCCCTTTACTGGGGCAAAATAGTGAGACTCTGTCTCAAAAAAAAAAAAAATTCTTTCACTTTCATTTTACTGGGCTCTTATGTTATAACTAACTCGAAGACACGCTCAAAGAATTTTACTAAGTAAAAGCAAGGGGCAGCATGTAGTGCTGCGCAGCGATGGCGCTCCCATCGATTAAAGACAAAGGGGGGAAAGTGTAACGGAGACAGTACGTGTACATCGCAGGCACACGCTCACGTGTGTGTGTGTGGAGACAGACTAAGACTCAGAAACTGACAGAGTCTCTGCTGGTAAGAGGGACGAGGAGGCCAGGGTGGATAGGAAACCTTTCCATTTTTAAAGGTTCAAACTTTTAAAATTGAGTATTACCTTTTCAATTAAAAAAAAAAAAAA